TACCATAGGTTAGAAACCTTTGGGCTTCTACCACCTTGGAATAGAACACCCAGCCTTCTTGATTACTTGCACTGCCCCCAAGGCACTGATAATGGAGACATCTGCAACATTTGGTACACATACATGTGCAGCCCTATCTATTTTAAATTACTGTGAAATAAGGCAGGGGCAGGCTCTGCTATGCCTTCCATGCTATGCGTAGTGCACATTTAGAATTTGGTTTCCTACAATGTAAGTTGTAAATATTATGTTAAGAGATGGCATAACCTTCCAAAGTACTTAATTTTCAATCTTTTATGCTGTTTATCTTGGGTGTACAGGTCTTCCTTGTAATGTTATTCAGTGTACAGGTAAACCTCGATTTGCGCCGATTCAGAAACCAGCAAGTCAAAAAGTGAAAAAAAAACTATTATTTATAATGTTTTACAATGTTTCTCGTACTGATTCTTATACTAAATCGTAATTCTTACATTGCTGATTTTGAATAAAAATTATAAATACAGTCACCTCTGCACTCACTGCTAAGTAGTTGCGAGATAATCTCCTAAAAATCCGCCAACATTGCGCAACAGTCACGAGAGCATTGGTCACTCTTCACTCTTTGCGTTCAGCCTGATAAGGGAGTAAGGAAAAATGTGCTCAGTTCGCTTCTTGTTGACACACTGAATGTGCTAAAAACTGTGTGCTAAATGTGTTTGTGTTGTTGTTCGACCACTATTCTGCAGTAGCAACTGTTTTATATATATAAATTGTAGAAGAGCCACCATGTCTGGTAAGAGAAGTGAATGTGTTGCTAAAAAGTTGCATATGTCTATTGCATTAGAAGATAAGATGGACGTAATTCGTAGAATAGAGGGTGGTGATACCTGTCGTAATGTGTGCAGAAGTATGAGGTTGCCTCCTTCCACTGTGACTACCATAATGAAAAATTCATACAAAATAAAACAGTCAATGCCAAGCTACGAGAGTAAATGCAACGCAAGTGAGTTATAGCAGAAGTAAACTTTTAGAAAGAATGGAGAAATTACTGTTGCTATGGGTGGATGACATGAATCGAAAAAACATTCCCTTGACTGAAATTGCTATCACGATCCCCGGCATAAATTGAGGTTTACCTGTATATGAAACAACCTGGAAATTCCTTCACAGCCTGGAGTACTAGGCTTTATTTAGTGAGACAGCAAAAATAACTGTGTCAACAAAATTTCAATCCCAATTACACAACTGTTACCAGCTTGTAACAAAATAGAACCAAGAACAAATAAACTTAGCTTAAACTTAAACAGCATTTACAGTGGCCAGCTCTGTAACAATGATCACTGATAATGGACCAATGCCTATTTGAAGCTGCGCTGTATCCGACGAGAATGTTGACCCCGATTTTCAAGTAAAGCTGCTTCCAACACCTGTGTGATGTGTACCAGGTTTGTAGGATCTGTCTGCAGAACAATATTCTTTCTGGTGGAACTACCACTGGCAAGAGGTGTCTTGGTCTCAAGTGTCAGATTCATGGTGATAAGTGGTGTCACCTGGTGCTGCAGAGCTCGTGATGCAAGCTGCACATAAGAACCATATGACAACTGTGCTGATACATTTCAGTTAATATCATTGGAACATCCAAAAGAGACAGAATAAGAAATTAAGCCCAAAGAAAGTATTAGGAAAACATCTTTTAAAAAAGACTTGCATGAAATATATGATTTGATTATTATGCAAATGGAAAATGTCAGAACATCAAAGACAGCTTCAGGCAAAGACATTAGGTCACAAAGAATCAGAAGAAGGGTGATACAGAGAGATTAAGAGAGGAATGGGGAAAAAAAAAAAAGTAAAGGCTGTAGGAAAATAGCAGAGAGAATATAACACTATGAAATGAAAGCTCACAAAAGTACTCCTCCTGCTGCTGCTAAAGGCAATGATAAAGGAGTTTTGTATCAGTCAGAATTACAGTAGGTGTTAGGTCAATGACTAAGACTTGATATCATGAAGGGGGGGGGGGGGGAAATAAAAAACATGACATATACATAAAGCATCAACTTGTACCCACAAATCAAAACAATTTCAGACAGTAAGTCTGGTACAATATGTAATGTTACATATATAAAAGTTAATTTATGAACTTTATAAATTTATAACGGGAATTTATGAAGCGACACGACAAAAATAAACTTGTTAATCATCTTTATAACTTATTTTCCATCACATGCTTGTTGGTGTGAATCTGTCCCACTGTCCATAAGACTTAGACAAACTGACATTCAACAAACATGTTACATGTGCTTGTTACAATCCTGGAAAACAATATTTCATTTTAGACACTACAGCTGATAGCTGCATACTCTCTCATAATATTTAATGAATTACTAAAGTCTTAAAGATTTCTGTCTTCTGGGTTGATGATGGAGGCAGTATGGAACTCTGAAACGATGGTAAACATCGACCAGACTACATGGTGCAATAACCCAGAAGACAGAAATCTTCATACTCACTGCTGTGAAAACCTCAAATCTTACATACTAAAGTCTTGTCAGAATTACTTCAATCCTTGTAGGTGGTGTTGTATGTATTAATTAGTTTAAAACATACCATATTTGTTCATGTATTTTTTCTCTTTGCATAACATTCCAACCCCATTCTTTTTGGGAAGGAAATGTACAGATATTATCATCACATTAATGCTCTTCCTTAACTTTGTCATACAATGCCATCTAATTTTATTTCACTGACTGCACAAGAACTCATTTAATTTCTGTCCATACATATCCTATGAACATAAGGCAGGGAAATCATACTATAATCCATTCTAAAAATTGTTTCTACTTGCTTCTGGAAAACCAGTCACTACACTGTTTTCACAGACACGTGCAGAAACCTGGTTTCATTTCCTAAATGTGACATCAGCTGATCATATGCAATAAGTTATGTACCAGTCACAAAATATTATGAGTGCTGTGCTGACTTTTATCACTGCTATACGTATGTTTTGGAACACAGCCGTAAAAAACACGATAAGTAAATAACTGGAGCAACAATTGCATAAATTTTTTAAAAGGAGGAGAAAAAAGTGCATACAGTAGAGAAATAAATGTCTCAGAAATGTAAGTTTTGTTATATAGCACCAAGAACCTGTAAGAAAAGTAATTTGTATATTGTACTACCCAATACTTTATGCTGAAGCTAGTAGCAAGAAGAGGAATATTACAGAAATAAATGTTGTTGCTTTAAATATATTTATGAATTTTGCTAACAAACACAGACACACCTGAAGAGTCTCAAATGAAGGAATTTATCAGATCAGTAGTTGCAAATAATATAACAACAACAACTTACCTGAACCTCAAACCTCCATTCCAGGTCATGATAATGAGGAAGATCCAATGTGAGCTGAGACAGGGCATCAGAGATTTCTTGCTTCTTCCCCTTATAGAACACCTCTAATGTTTCCTGTTGCTCTTCACTGAATCCTAAAGTCAGGACTGAGTCACGGAAATCAAGATCACTGAGCTGTCAGGGAAAACAGAGATCCCATTCAGGGAAACAACCAGAACTATGAATAAAGAATCACAAATCTTGAAGCTTCATACAAATTACCTGGTGTTTACAGCTCTCCACAAGCAAATTCACCAAACCACCTACTGCATTTTGAATCACCTCTGGCTGAACATCCAGTTTTTCTAGAAAAATAATCAGAATTCATACTGGAAGATGTTACAATGTGTCCAGATTATTAATTAAATGTCTATTTCAATACATGTGTGATTATGAAAATAAGCCAGAAGACAGAAAGCACAAAGAAAAAAACAATTATGAAATCAAAGAAGTGGAGAGCTTCAAAAACTTTAGAAGTAAAATAGTGAAAAATGGAAGAGTTAAAGTAGAAATTACAGAACAACCAAAAATGCAGAAAAATGTTATCAATTAGTGAAGGGCATACTCTGAAAATGCCAAATGTCAAAGAGGAAAATATGCCCACTTAAAAAGTTACATGCCTATATTAACATATGGAGCAGTAATTTTTACATGGACACATCCAGATATTAGCAGACTAATGGAAAAATAAATTAATTTTTTTATAATTATAGAACAAGTCAAAAAAGACAGAATAATAAATAAAAAATCACAGGAAATCTAAAGATAAACCTTGTTTTGGAAGACAAAGTCACAAAGAAGAGAATATTTTAAACAATGAACAAAGACTTCAAACATGAAAACCAAAGGAAAATACCCAAGGCAGAGGCCAAATCAAGATGGGAATAATATGTCAGGAAACATGTTACATAGAACAAAGGAAGACTACAGGAAGAAACTGAGGAGCTGTAGGACAACAAACAGATGAATAGTCTTGGTTGATAGATGGCACACTACAGTGAAAATGTCTTAGGAAGAAGGAGGTCATTGTCTTTGGTATGAAAACTGCAAATTCACCTTCTCTATTTCTACCTAAAGTTGGCACCTAGAAATATTTAAATTTTGAAAAGCATAAGAAAGCAAAAATTAAAGAGTTCAAAAAGAGGTTTGCGACCTTTATATCATCATCGTTCTCTTTGATTGGGGCATATTTACAAATGAACAAGAATGATTAAGAATATCAGACTATCATAAACATACTGTATTTTCCTAACTGTTGTTTGTTTGATGAAAAGATAATATCAACAAAGGCCACATCCTCAAATAAATGATCCTAGGTTCTGGTCTTATTGAAGACAGTTTCAATAGCTCAGAAACTAAGCACAATGCAAGAATGATGTCAACACCAAAGTTGTTAGTTGCAGAGAGGTGATTAAAGGAACAAAGGCCACAACAAAAAACTGTTCTGGTGAAGACAGTTTCTGCAGCTCAAAAACTGGTCTTGATAAAAAAAATTGTGCTGACACCAGACTTGTTTATATCAGTGAGGAGATCAGGATCAAAGGTGACAAACCCTGAAAAACCTGTCCCAGGTACAAGTCCTAGTGAAAATGTCTTCTGTATACACAGATTAAGATCAACATGTTTGTTATGGCAAAGAGATGACAGGAACAAAGACCACAAACCCAAATAATGTCCTAGGTGTGAGGCTCAGGGAAAATTTCTTTGTACCTAATGAAAGTAGAAGATAGATAAGACCAATATCATTTGCTTCAGTGGGACTACATAAAGAAATGCCACAACCACAAAAGAAACTGTCCTGCAAAAAGTTTTGGTGAAAATGGGTTTTCTATACACTGAAAACTAAATGGGGTGGATAATTATCGAAACTTCCGTTTTATTATTTTTTGTTAATTTGTCTTCTAACCTCATTTCCTATTAATGAATTTTACTAGAACAACGAGCACTGCCAGGGCAAATGAAGTCGCATAATCTTTAACACAAGTATTTCTACTCCCCTTTTAATTTTACTGGGTTACTTACGTGCTGCTGTTTGGTACAGTTTGGGGGTTGGTCCTTTCCTTAGAAAATCTAATGCCATTTTGCAGAAATCCTGTAAAACTACACAAAAAGTTTTCATGGAGTGTCCAATTAATATTATACAATGTACTTACATCAAACATCTTTGAAAATACGTCATTATTACATTAAAATAATTTACCGTTCGTGGGCTGAGGAATTAATACTGATATATGTTGTTTATGATCTTCTTTCAATGATAAAAGCATTTTAGATTTTGGGATTATAGCTTCTAAGGAAACAGAAATCCTTGCAACCCTGCAACATTTACCACACGGCTGACATTTATTACGACAATTAGTACGAAAGTTAACGACATAACCTCACGGACTTCCCGGATAATTTAATGCAACATAGCGAAAGGAAGAAATCCGGTGCATAGATAACTGGAAATACAAAGATCCCACAATCACAGACAATACCAACGTTTAATAATTCTTGCTCTTATTATTATTTCATTTGTAGTGTACAACAGGAAATTTTCAAACTCATATTTAAGGTATTCAATAA